AAGTATTAACAGGTTTATCTTGTAATGACTGTCGGGAAATGTAGTCAGCATGTTGAATTTGCTTAGCACTCCTGTGCTGAACCGTATAGTCGTAGGCACTCAGAGCAATACTCCATCGTTGAACCATAGCAGCTGAGGCACGTACTAAGGATTTTTCAGGATGATAAATAAACTGCAAAGCCTCATGATCAGTAACAATAGTGAATTTCTTTCCGAATAAATACTTATGAAGTCTTTTAACAGCCCAAAACACAGCTGATGCCTCTCGCTGAGTCTGTGAATAGCCTTGTTCAGTAACAGTAAGTTTGCGTGAAACACAAATAACTGGTCTACCTTCCTGTTCCAAAACTGCACCAATACCCACAGGTGATGCATCAGTGATCAGCACAGACTGTACAATGGGGGAGTAAGTTCGAAGAACAGAATCACTTTGCAGAAACTTTAGTAGACTACGTAAGCACGACTCTTGTTCCTCACCCCATTTGAATGAATTGGATGTCAAAATATCAAATAAACAATTTGCACGACAAGAAAAATTAGGAATAAAACGGGAATAGTATTGAAAAGCACGCACTAGTGAACGTAGTTCTGTAAGACTTTTTGGAGACGGTGCATTTGTCAGTGGAGCTAGTCGTTTCATATCTGGTCTAAAACCATTACCATCAACTGGGTATCCGAGACATTCAAAACTAGATACACAAAATGAACACTTGTTTGGATTTACTATAATATTCTTCTCAATTAAACGACGCAATAAGGCAATAAGTCTCTGGTCATGAACTCCCTTATCAGCACCATGAACAATCAGATTATCTTGGTAATCTTCAACACCTTCAAGATCATTAACCACCTTATTCATAACTTCCTGGAATATGGCTGGAGAACAACTTAGCCCAAATGGAAGGAAATTGTATTTAAACACACCAAAAGGAGTGTTAATTGTTGTCTAAATAGATGAGGATTGATCTAAAGGGATTTGAAGATAAGCATCTTTTAGGTCAACTTTCGAGAACACTTTAGAACCATGAAGTCGATTTAGGGTATCTTCAGCCTCTACCGTCGTGCGTGTTTGCTTCAACAAACGAGAGTTTAAGGTTAGTCTATAGTCACCACATATTCTAAGAGTCTTGCCATCCGATTTCAGTGGCGTAACAACAGGAGAACCCCATGCAGAAGACTGAACCGGTTCAATTATGCCTTTTGCAAACAAATCATTCAAAGTCTTATGCACTGCATCTCGAAGACCATAAGGAATTATTCGTCTTTTGAGAAAGACTGGATCACCATGTACTTGAAGTTTTATAGGCTGAATTTTCATACCTCCACTGCACTTAGCACACGTGGCTATCAAATCTTTAAGTAAAGCATCAGAATTTTCTTTAGAAACTAGGAAAGACAACTCCACTTTAAGCCTTTTCAAATTCTTTAAACCCAGTATTGACAGTCCTGTTTCGCTAACTAAAAATTCACAAGGTATGTATGAGGAATTATCATCTCTTATTAGCAATTCACAACATCCTCGTATAGGCAGTCTGTGTCCAGTAATCCCCAATATTGATACTTCAGTGGGTCGAACCACAACGTTGGGATCTAAGGATTTCAAGTTCTTGAATGAAATAATGGACTCTATACTGCCAGTGTCCACAATAAAGTCATGAAATGAACCAAGCGATGAATATGATCGCTTTTGAATATGAGCATTACCTTTCGAAATGGTAGTCAAAGATAAATGATCATTAGGATCAGCTGAATTATTGGGATCTAAATTACAAGATTTAGTACTACTTCAGGCAAAATGAACAGTAGCTTTGCATACTGCTTGAATGTGTCCTATCTTACCACATCTAAAACATTTGGCATTGCGATATGTACATAAGATACGAGAATGAAGTTTTCCACATGATAAACATTTGCCAAACTTGGTCTCACCTTTTTGATCTCCTTTGTAATTCTTTATTGAAACACCGTTCATATTTACACGAGAATAAGAACCACTGTTAAACGAACACAATTCCGATTGACCCTGAGATTGTTTTTCATCATGACAACTAAAGTATTGGAAATCTTCATCGACTGAATATCAAGTTCATTCAACGCCTCGTAGTTAATGAACGCAGTTCTAACATCTTGAACTGAACAGTTTGACATTCTTAACAGCTCTCTTTCCACACCCGGTTTGTTAATTACCGCGATTAATCGGTCTCTCAGCTGCACATGAAGTTGATCACCGAAATTACATTTGACAGCTTGTTTCTGCAATTCAAGAATGAATTCCTTAACATTTTGGTCATTTTGACGAATCATCTTATGAAATTTCGCCCATTTCGCGCATTCAAAACTAGTGCACGTTACATGATTTAATAATAACTCCTTAAGCATTGCGTAGGAAAGTGAGATAGGTTTTTCTGGATATGCCAAGGTTTTTAATAAGCTGTACGCTTCTCTTCCGATGAATGTCAGGAAATGAGCCACAATTCTATCATCTTTAACATCTTTCTTGGTCATACTCCAGATTTCAAACCTTTCCAAATAATCCTCAAAAGTTTCAGAAGTAGAATGAATATCCAACTGTTCTATTACAAGTTCCATCGCGACGCCAATATGATAATTAGAAGTATGTGAATCAAGAACTACGAGATAGGTACGAACGAATAGACTGTATTTAGAATTCGAAATCAAGCATTTAACTACAACCAAGACGTCACTAGTTCATTCAAACACCACAAAAATACTGCGTAAATCGAGCTCCGAACACACATCAATCGAGCGACATTTCTTTTAGTGAGTTGTTTGTCGGGGCTTCGTCTCTTAAATTCGCCTGCAAAATTATTTGTGGTTACTTCAAATCAAATCTCCGGTCTACACAATTTGAAAGTATACTTAGTCACTTAGAAACACATCGTTGGCAACAATATATGCACCTGCCTACTAGAAACCACAACATTCTTGATTCGGTATTTTGTCACGATGTCACGATGACATTTGTGGCGGTCTGCGATAATTTTTATGACAGCAACCATAAACTAGTCTTCTGCCCTCCACCGTTTCTTGCCAAGTGCGACAAATACAAAACAACAACGCGTTTTCAATACAAAGACAATAAACACTCTGATTGGGACAGATCCAATTTTCTAAGCCAGCACTCCAACTGAATTAAGTTCATTACTAACCTTGAGCTCTCTGAAACATAAAGCCAGGACTAAACTCAAACGGGCATATTGCATTTCTAAGGATTCAGCATTATCTATCAAATCTACTGGGTTCTAGGTGTGAAAAACCTACATGAAGTGGGTAAGCGAATGGAAGAAAATAATGCTCCTTACTACATGTAAGACCCAAAACGTCTGTCATCTCCTTAGCAAATGCATAAAAAAAGAACTCAGCCGACATTCATTCTATACAACATGGTGGAGAGACTTATTAAGACGAAACTGTTATTTGTGAACTGTATAGTATATGGTTCTCCCTCAATCAGCACATTTCTCTTATCTGTGATATTAATCTTAACTGTAACAGTGAGAATAATCTCAATACTATCAACTATCATCTTAGCAATATTCAGGTCGTCATTAAAACCCTCAAAAACAATTCCAGCTTTGGCGCAGATAAAATGCCACCCATACTATTTAAAAGGGCACGACCAAATACTCTAGCACTTTTGCTCAAAATGCTTACATTAACTCTTGAAGCTGGGATATACCCCGACACCTGGTAATCAACTCATGGCCGAAAAACACAATCCAACCTACAGATCAGTTAATATCACCCTAGTTATCTCACGTGTAATGGAGAAAGTGGTAAAAGATTGAATAACTGACCACTGACTCGGGGAAGATTTAATTGACCCCTCACAACACGGCTTCATTTGAACTAGGTCGTGCACCACATGTCTAATAGATTTCTTCAATTAGGTTACCAGCATATACGACCAAAAGCAACTAAAGATCGTGTTGTATTTCGATATCAGAAAGGCTTGCGAAAGGGTATCTCACAATCTCTTGATCAACAGACTTCAGGCTATCAGAATTTCTGGCTACCTATTGCAATGAACTGGGTCTGTTCTCAAGAAAATATATCAAAATGCCAAAATTTACTACATCCACACCTCGACCAATTACCACTGTTGTTGTGCAGGTCAGAGTCTTTGGTCCACTGCTTTTCAAATTTTATATCAACAGCATATGCGGTTGCATCAACACTGGCCAAACCTACCACTACTCTGATGACCTAAGAGAGATCTTTAGAACTAACAAGTCTGACAGAGGAAATTTGATGCGCGCAATACAGCATGAAAGCAATAATAAAAATGAATGGTGTAAGCGTTGGAACTTAGGACTCACTATTGAGAAATGTGGCTAGAAGTGATTAGGCGACACGTCTGCCAAAATTAATCTCTGCCTGAACTCACATCAGTAACGGAACTAGGAACAGCGTAAACGACTCTAATAATTCTAATAAATTTTCCCGAACGAGAAACATGCTTGGTTTCAATATAATTATCAAAGTTTTTCACAAACTTTACTATGTTTACTGAAATTTCAGTTTCAATTTACAGGCACCCAGCTTCTTTCGTATGTAAAAACATAAAGACATATAGTTACTAAGACAATACTGCTACATAAATCCCAATCTACATCGAATAGAAAGTTCTATATCAGGAGTCCAGAGTAACGGATCATCATATATTTTTTTCCACAACTAATTTTTAAGCATTATTTCAGCTACATCCCCGACTCTTCAAGATAATTACAGGGAGCCTATCTCATGCTATTAACAGTTTTCCGATGTATGAAACCATAAATCCCTATTTCGAACAATTTCTTACATACATTTTCCTTGGTGGCCTTATATTTACGCTACTTATGAAAGTTCAAAACAAACAAAAGCGTCTTAACAGCACACAATATGTTTTCCAATAATAAAGTATTACTAATTTTAGAAACATATAATAAGATAGTTCTGTCATAATGTGAAAATCAATTTCAGCAAAAACGTTTGTTTACCTACTCCAACAGATAAAACTTAAAATTTGTTGCCTTTTCAAGTTTAGAATCACATTTCGTGACTAATGCAAACCTATCCGGGTAACTTATTGACTAAAGTGGGGAAGAGATCGGAAAGATATACTCATAAAGAACTGAGATTTCTCCTTGAAGAAGTTCAGAAGTATCCGAATATTATAGAATCTCCAAACAGTCATAGTGAAACAAAACATAGAAAGTTTGTACTGTGGCAGCATATTTCAAAAAAATTGCAAGGTGCATTTCCTGATTCTAGCCCGAAATCTGCAGTACAGCTCAGAAATTGGTGGAAACGAACCAAGAGCAGGGCTAAGCAGCGTCTTTCCTCCGGTTCTTTTACGGCAGAAAAGTGTAAGTTAACTGAAAATAATCCCACAGAAGTTCAAGAAAACAGTCGAGGGTATCTAGAAGCAATATTTTCGGAAATATGCGAATTCAGGCGTCAAATTGTGGCTTCTTATACGACAGAAAAAGAAGATTCGGAATTCACCAAATTTTTAGAAGAAGCGTGCGAAGATTACAGCGCTGAAGATGAGGAAGTCGTATGTGAATCTTCAAATTCCAGTTTCTTGGACAACAGTCAATCAACAGAGTCAACCAGGGTTCTTTTAAATGAAAACACTTCGTCTTTCGGATGTAACTGTAGTATAGATTTACGAGAAGGTTGTCAAATACAAAATTTAAATCCTAGAGATATTTGCAAATACAATGGTATACCATCGCAGAATATGTTTACGTATGATCCAGGCAAAATTACGCCAGACACCTATAATACAGACGAATCTATGATAAAAGAAGATAATACCAGTATTTTGTTCAATCATATTATCACAAATGTAGCGGCAAATTTTTTTTCGAATTACAAACATGTAATTGAGAATTCATCACTTTGTAAGATGGGTGATGCATATTGTTCTGAGAGCGGTACATCGTATAAAAATGCTAGTGAAAGTAGCGGCGATGTTTTGACAACAGGATCAAACTTCGATGGAAATTCGTTTTCTTATTTCACGGATGCCTCTAAAAGCTTTGGAATGTCAACAAATGAGAAAAGTATGTTTTACATTCCCACAGTCTTAAACCCTGACAGTTCATCAACACAAAATGTGTCTAAATCGTCTAGAAAGGTTAATGACAGCCCTGATTGTTCATTGATATGGCTAGAATTGATGCAGATCGATAATGAAATTCTTAAGCTTAAAAAGCGGAAACTGGATTTAGAGATTACAATCTCAGATGACTGTCTTAATAATTATTACAAAAATTACATGTATCGTAAATGTAAGACATAATATATTGGTGAATGAAACTATAAAATACGAAGTAATGTCAGCCAGTATACCGAAATATACCACTAAAATAAATCACTTGTTTTGATATGCTGGTGTGGTTTTTGAGGTTGAAATATGGCCAAAATCTTGCATTCTGGTGTTAGATCAACAGCATTTTACGACTACTTAAAGAATTTTCTTCGAAATACTGATGTACTATCAATATTTCTAAACTGTTAAGTTCATTTTATTAGTTATTTGAAAGTTCTGTATTGAATGAAATTCCTTCTAAGAAATAAGTTTAGATAACGAAATAAAGGAATGACTGAATGGTGCATGTGAAATGAAAAATAGTAACGATTAGCCTCAAAATGAATTTACAAATACTTAACTGCTTTCAAGAAATAGCTAAATAATTTATTCCAAAAACTTTAAAGATCTATTCACCAGGTTTATTAATATGATTTAGTCCAAATTCAAAATCTTATTAGCGTTCCATATACATTTTCATTTAGTAGTGTTTTGTGTGAAAGTTTACAAGATCCCCTCAGCAACAATGCTTTGCATAAGTGTCATTATGGGCGAATTTCAACACAAATTTACATATTCAATTACTTCTACGAGCAGCTAGGATTGATGTTTTTGATAGTTAAAATGTTGGAAAACCTAAGATGTAATTTTAACTGAATCCTTTACGGATCAGAAATAGCTTGCAAAACTGAACCGTCATGTGACATACTATGATTGGATTAATTATTAAAAACACCACCATGTGGAAAAATAAGTGACGGTAAAGTGACTAATAGTAAGCGTAAAATCAAAGCTGGAATCAATGGTCGAACAAAAAATGTCTTTTTCAAGTTACAATTGCAGACAGAGGTTAATTTTCCATAGCTGTAATACACGTTATTAGTGACACCATATTAAATATACACAGTAGGAAATTCTTTTCCATCAGCTACTGGATTAAAAAATTTTCTTATAACTGATTTGGGGTTAAGTCATTTACTACGAAAGCCTTGTCTAATGACCTATTAATATAAGAACAGAACAAAAAGCAACGTACATCATTCCATTTCTGTCTGAATCAAACTGTATATTAAGTTCCCGAATACAGCTGTTTACATTTCATAGATTCAAAATTTTGGGTGAGCTTTATTAATCAACTCGGGAGAATTCATGGGAAATTACTCTTCTTATGCTATGATATTAAGTCATCAAAACATTAAATTGATTTAGGTACATGGAGATACTACACTCCGTGGGACAACTTCAGATGTACAGGCATAATGCTCGAAATTAGAGCAGCTGCTTTTAATTCATTTGGGTAAATTTTATATCTTTCGAATAATTTCGAAGACCGATTCAGAAGATAATTACTGTCTCTGACGAAGCTTATTCAGATGTCATTAGGGTGCTTTGTTTACTAGATTAGACACAATGCAACGCAGAGACATTATAGACAAAATAAGACGTACTTTCCAAAGTTGGTTGATATCCCGCACAAATATTTCAAATTATCTCAGCCTTTCCAGTGAATGATACGAGGTAATGTATGGGAAACAGAATGGTTTACAATTTGAAACCAAAATACTAGACTGTTAATTCTGAGTTAATGATATTGAATAGAGCACTTGAACATTTTTTGTCAAGATACAACATTTGCGTTTTAACTACTTAATCCACTACACAATATTCACTTTTAAAGTATGCTCTTCACACATGAACCATGGCGAAAAAGTCATTTCTCTTAAAACGATCGTAAAACGTAAACAAACTTATCATAAATTTTGCAACAAGTAACAAATGTAGTAAAGGTTTCTAATTTATTGTAGTTAGTAATCAGCTTATGCATCCAGAGTGATTTTATATCTTAGAGTATGCGTTCATACTTGAAGCCAACAGTATTGAATCCAGGTCCCATATTGGATACTAACACCAGGATACAGATATATTAAGCAAACGAAATAAACGTGCCGCCTGGACTTCATCGCTAGTCACAATGCAAATATACTAAGATTAGCTAGTTGATTTTGTTAAAGTTGTTCATTAGGTTTCCATTAGAACTAACAACATATTTATCATAAGTACAAAATATGAAGAAGCAAACTGTCCTCTAATATTCTATCGAGGATCTGGAAGCAATAAAGGACAGAATATTGACGATTATTTTATTTTAAAAGGAATTTACAAATAAAGAATTTCTTGTAATTGCATATACTAATCATACATTGAGTTATGGAAATTTGCCGTTAGCACGATTTAGATATACAAAAGATATACTTAATTAACACCAAACATTTACAGTAAGTAGAAATATATTCACTAAAACAGAATATTCATGCCCAGATAAAACCCAATTTCGTGATCACAATAACCGGTACCTCAAATATACGCACACCTTACGCTGTTCGTTTTCTTCATAAACTATGTATAACTATCACTCGAGAAAAAATGCAGTTTTGCAAAGCAGTTACTGGTTGTAATTTACTTTGACATCAAGCCGTCATCTACTTCAAGAGGACCTTTACAAGCTACTGATTTCACAATTATTCTTCAAGTGACGGTAATTTCTGTCGGAAATTAGTCATGAAATATAAACGAATCGTCACAAGACCACCTTTTACAAATCACTAATATTAGGATCCACGAATAGACCGTCATCACAGTTCCAATTACTAAGTATGTTGTGCTATAATTGAAATTACTGGAAACAATTTTCCGAAAAATCATTGCAGCATTGTTACGGCATATCCAAAAAGTGATGGTGGGATGATTAGGGAAAATTCAACTACCGCGTCAGCAAACTGCAAACCATAAAACGGGTACAAACTTTCACACTGGTCCAAAAACAAGACTAGAATTGATAGAAGACAGTCTAAATTCAGAGCCTTACTATGTTTAATAAAAATTTAATTTTATTGTCACGTAGAAAAAAAAGTTCCAAAATATAAATATAACGACAATGTGGGGGGAACATACCACTCTAATGCTACTTATAGCAACAATTATCATTTTGACGAAAATCTATACAAGATAACAATAAAACGAGTGGACGAAACCTGATTAAAATTTTGGAAATTAAAGATGAACTTGAGATTACCCAAAAGTCAAACTATCATAAAGTTACGTAAGTAAGAGGAAAAACGACTAGTATGCGTAAACATTAGAATAATTCTATTTTATACAATTATTTAAAACAGTAATGTTAATTATCATTAAAAACCTGATTAGCAATTAACAATATGAAACTAGTAAAATAGCTGTTTGGCTGTGAGTTTATTTGTGTACACAATATTCAAAATACATTGATGCACCATTTTGTATTGTATGCGACAAGTTAGTTGATCTATACAAACAGAACTATAAACCGGTATGTTTCAAAAGTAGGCAGAGATTAAGTTCAGGACAACACATACAGAGAAAAGAGGAGGGGTGAAAAAAAAATGATACGAAGTTGTCTATGGGACAACACATGTACACACACATCAGAGACATGTGTCATTAAAATAACATTTTTTGCACTGTCTGAAGTCAAAAGCATTCATGTATTCAAAAAGCACAAAAAAATATGAACTACAAAAAAACAAAACACAAGTGCAAAGAACAAAAATAAACTATATCCAATGAATCGATAGGACACATCAAAAATGATACTGAAATTCAAAGTTTAGTAATTTTATTTTAAGTATATTTCGGTTTAAAACAAGCAGATTTCGAACTAAATTGGCTAAAAAGACTAAAATTTTAACATTTCTTACAGTACATTTATGACCATAGCAATACTTCAATAAATATTTTTCTGTATTCATAAATACAAAATAGACATTTACAGTGAGTTTAATAAGGCGGAATCCGATGAGTCGTTATTACAGGTTTCTAGTAATTTTGTACTACGAGTACAATCTGTACTGTTTTCATTCTCACAGGAATGTAACCACCGATCTGAAGAATTTTCACATTCGCATTCTTTAACAGGTTGGACACAACTGGAACTGGTATTGCATGACAGAAAGTGAGGAACATCCTTGAGATGTGAGTTCATTGTAACTGGCACAACCTTTGGTGAAAAATCACAGGCCTGAAACGAAAGAACAACATTAAAAACGATAAAATAAAAAAAATAGAAAACAAGACATTGTAATCTGGTAATCTAGTAATAATGACTGATTCACTGACACCTGATGACCTACTAAGAACTTTAAGTGCGTAACTTAACAGATTATTCAGGTCTCGTTGGTTCATTTTGACTAACGACTTTGTTTTCAACTTCAAACATGATATCTGTTAAGGCATAATTAGTTAAATGTACAGGCGAGATTTGTGTCTAGTAGTAAGGAAAGTAGAGTTACTTTCTGACAATTACATGCAGTAGGTTTTACGAAACGTTTGAGAATATGATAGGATCGAAAAATGAAGGTATTACACGATTTACGGGATTCGATTCTCAACAGTAACTGACCCTACAGAACAGAGGTGTACACTAACTTTAGAGCGAGCAACCGTAAATTATTCTCAATCAATTTAACATTTGAATTAACAAAAGTGCTAGTTTATTATAATTTAGTATTAGTGAATTTCGATAAAATTAGAGGGGTTTATACAAAAACGAATATAACAATTGAAAACCTGAAACTGAAAACTTACAGCCAAGTCTATCTGTAATAATCCTGGAGATTCCATATCGCTATCTGGTGAACCAAAATGGTCTGTTGTAGAGTCAATAGTAACAGAAAGTGAAGTATTTTTTACCCGTTCGGGTGATTTTCGTTTCTGATCATACTCTTTTTGACTAGGCTTATTTAAAAAATCTTGATTGTTAGTAGAAGCATGTTTTGCCATAAGCAGTTCAGGTACAGGGATTTTAGATGTAGAACTATTAAAAGAATCCCTAGAACCTGATATCACTGAACAGTTAACCAAACCAGGAGAGCGCAAAATAGAACGATCTTGCTTCTTCGGTGGAACATTTAGATGAAACTGCAAATCTAATTTTTTATAAAAGTGAAAATAATGACCATATTAACAGTTATCTCACATTAAAATAAGAACCAATTTCAAGAATTTCAGAATAATATATATGTAACTGAGAGAGAGGAAATTTAAATAATGTAGATAAAATTCCCATTTCCCATTATTTGTAATGGGATTTCCACACATCTAGACGAAATATGATAGCCAGGAATGTGAATATAGCACTAAGAATTCAGTAAAATAATTATGCTAAGATTACATAAAACCTTTACATGCCCAATTTTCAGTTACTTGTAAGTAGCATTTATAACGACTAGGACATAAGCTTAATATTCTATGATAGAATAAAAAGAAAGATAAAAATGTAATATGTGCAAGTGTGATAATTTAACTAACTATTACCACTTCACTAATTTATAAAAACTCCCTTTTTAATGGAGTTTGTAATTCGATGTGAATACATGTGAAATTGATGTAGCGATGAAATAGCTCAGATTACAATAGATCAGATGGTGATAAGCTAAATAATGAATTTCGAACTAAAATCATCTAATGTTAGAAATTTTGGATAAAATAGTTAAGAATAAGGTCATAATCAGATACAATGAATAATTTTAAACAATTTTACTTTTGTATCTTTCAAATTCATTCTGTTTTTCTAGAAAGATAATGTCTATGCCTAACTTTTTCTAACTAATACTATTTCCACTTTGGGAATTAGGCCTGGTAATCTTATCTTTGTGTGCTGATATGGTATGGCAGCGTAAACTGATTCATATGTGGTCCGTGTTATTTACGTTGCTCAGGATTGATTGATTAAAAGTAAAATCAATAAGATTGAGTCGTTCCGCTGCATCGAGTGACTAGGGTACCAGTTCAATATACTATGAGACAATAATTTTTGTCGGAATAAACAAAAAATGACGTGATAAATTGATCCATATTGAGGAAAAACAGGATTAACATAATACCTGGAAAAAGGAAATGAGCTATTTGAGTAGCACAGTGCTTTTATATATAAAATAATGTATATGCAAATCACTACTAAGAGCAAAGTGCTCTTATCTTCAAAACTCAATGCAAACACACCTGAATTTCGTGTAGAATGGTGTTTTGTAACAGGTGATGGTGTCCTGGATAGATGAGGAGAACATACATTGGAAGGAACAAGTGAGTTTCTTGAAATAGTTTGTGCCCGTATTTCTTCTGTAATAGCCTGAAATAGAACGTGTATGAACTTTTGAATACGCAATCAAAATCGTCAAGTAAGAACGAATTATCATCGCCAAAGATGAAGAATATTCACAACTTTACCGGCTTTATTCATCAACTTACACAAAATATAATAGAGGTATGAAATAAAAAACTAAAAATACAAAAATTACAGCTAACTTTCTTAAACCACATTGGGTACAGTATATATGCAAAGATAACCCTAACAAATATTTAAACAAAAAGATGAAAACGATATTCTGTTTATGACCCAATGTTCGAAAATCGAATGTTGGAATCATCGAACCGCAATTTCGACTAACTAGTTTCATAAAAATAAACTGTGTTATAACTTATTGTTTAATCTTGAGAAATTTCCTTGCTAAACAAGCGCTGTCTTAAAATTCCACATTCGATGGTTAAAAATATAATTCTTTAAAATTTAATACAAAAGACTAGTTGTCAAGACAATAACACCATTCAACAAAACAAAATAATACAATACGTCAAAAAATTTCAATTAATTAAGACGCCTATAAACTATGGAATGAGGACTTTGCCAGTGAGGTAATTTCAAATGATTAGTTTAGCGAATAAACATAATTAAGATTAATGTAAATCAAAAAACAGCATCCCCTATTAGAGATAAACACAATTTTATATACAAAGGGTTGAAAACAAATAAAATATCCACAGTACCTTATTAATATGGCTTTCTAGTGTATTCAGACCCAAGTTTATAGACGAAAGCTTGCCTGTATCAGAAGCATGCGAGTCTAAATTATTAACAGCTATGACAGAACCCGATTCAGTTGGATTACAAGATATTTGTATGCGATCGTTTTCGACCTTAGATGCCTGAATATACGAACAAGTAAATTACAAAAACAAAGAAGTAATTAGTGTTGAGAATAGTTTATTTGTGAAAACTGATATGTAATACTCTATCTCGTTGAGTTGCATTTTAATTTTCCAAAAATGTACGAAGGGAGTAAAAACTTTGGTTGTCTCCTTTGAAAAGAATCATGCAAATTATACAGTATCCGTGATCTGGGATTTTTCGGCAAATATATAAGTTTTGAAGCAAATAAACTATTGTATTAAGTTTAACAAGGCTGCTACTTCATAATCCAGAAAAAGCACTAGCAATTAACAAAACTGCTGTAACTATTCTGATATAAAGCGAATCAGTACAGTTTAGAATGAAAAGAATATAACTTACTGTACACCTTGATAGAGTTCCTCTTGATAATTCATTTTTTGGGCATGATCCAACTGTATGATTCCCAGTACCTTCAGATGAATGCGGACGTGGTGGACACATACTCAAATATTCTGACTGTTGATCTCTAAAATTAAGATTTGGGACGTTGATATTAGTAACAGATACATCACGAGTACTCGGTAGGTGAAAACTACTTTCTTCCTTTTGTTGTCGCAAGTGTTGTAGAACACCAAAAAACTGGGAAGATTCATCATTACTAGTTAGCGTCCGGATAGAATCAGATCGGTCACGTGAAGTATATGACCCAAGTTCGTCTAGATATAATTTATTAGCGTTTGCGATAAATGACGCCATTTGACTTGAATTTATGGATAGGTTAGGATCGTTTTCCAGTTTGAAAAACATAGAATTAAGACAGTTATCTGGCTGGCGAGTAAACGAAGATTCAGATTGGCAACTAAGATCACTTCTAGAAACTGGCATTCCCAAAAGCATATTAGGTTGACAAGGAGGAGTAGAATGGTTGGCAGTGGGTAACAGATTGTCAGTCTAAAAAGGAAACGTGATACAAAACTAGACATATTTTTGAGTTTTTACATAAACTAGTGAAGATATCTATAATTCACGAAAAATGATGATATAAAATTTAAGTGGAAATCACAGCTGTGTAAAAAGGGAATAGCTTACTTTAACAGGACTTGGAGACAGAGGTGAATATATACAGCGTTCTGGACCACCGAAATTGCTTTCTGACAGAGATGAACTACGACCATCAAACTGACTAACCGATGAAGCAGCTGCTGCTGCAGCTGCAGCTTTGGCATGCATCGCTAATCTGATAGCATGTTCCGCTAGGATATCACTTCCCAAGCATTTTTCTAAAGACAAAATTCAGTAAAGTCTTACATAAATATATGAGAGAAGTGAGGAATATATATATATATATATATATATATATATATATATACGTTAACCTTGTTCATTTGGAACATTGATTTATGATCGAAGAAGCTGATGAGAATTTATTGATAAGAATATTATTCATTTAGACAAGTTAACGTGGTCTTTATTATAAAGAAACATATATATTTACCAGAAACACCTGATGACGTCCGAAAATCGGATCCGGGATGACCATCAAGATTTCCATAAGATGCAGAAATATGACTAACACAGACAGGTAGGGTAGATGGATCAATAGATCTAGAAAGTTGATAGGATCCAGTGTAATCAGCTATTTGAAAGAAATATGTCAAAAATGCATATGAATGAAAAATCAAAAGTTATTTCTAAAATAACCAACAAAAGAAACGATCACCAATGAATAAGGATTTATGATATGAAAAAAGTTGGTAATATTTACTACCCGTTTGTTTTATCTTTTAAAAGATTTCCGCTTGTCGTTTGAAACTAAACGATTTCCAAACTAAAGGACTTATATGATATTATACTAGAAACCTAAATAAATCCGCCATTTATTTATTTGATTTTTTAGACCAACAACTAAAGTTATTTTGTATTCTGTATGAAGTGTTGACCTAAAAAACTACAATAAGAGAAGGAATTTCAATTTTGGCCACCGATTCGAATCTTATTTCAAGTCAGCTGGTCATATGCAACGGAGAACCTAGTGTATGCTCAATAACTCAAGCTGCCATAACAAATCAATCAACCGAGTGAGGTGGAATCACCAAGATAAAGTAGAAGAAACAGTAACAGTAGCGATAACATTAGAAAGGAGACAAACTAGATGATTTAAAAAAAGAACAAGTTCATGTCAGTAAAAAAGCATAGAATAACTTTGCAATTGAGTCGTTAGTGTTTGCTTTATTGAGACATTTTGCAGCCATAGATTAAAACAAATTGAAAGCTGGTCTGCAGACGAATATATCACTTACACGTCCGTACAAGCCAAAAAACGTATCTGAATACGTGATGAAATTTGAGTTGAATAATATTTAACTAGTGTCTATAATATATGTATATATGTAACTATGCATTTCTTTAAGGACTTTAGCAAACTTTCAAAATGTCAACAGCTGTTTATCTGTAGTTTTACTGTACATTTTATTATTTTTGAACGATCGTTTTTCAACATTCAAACAATCAAACTCATATATTTGTAAAAAAACTAATATTGTATGTAATAAGCATTCTGCAGTTTTGTAACATGAACACGCTGATTTACATTTTCATTAGCAATAATATTACAACAGCCTGAACAATTAAGTCACAGTAGCAATAGCAGTTTAATAATAAGGTAGGATAACGAAATTCATTTGCAAAATAATGTGTCACATTTAATGAACAACAAGCAAGTTGAAAGTTAGGAATAATTTTTATCATGCTCTTTCCATTGATTTTTAGTGATTTTAGCGGTTACAATGTTCGAGAAACCAAAGTATAAAAAAATGAAATCTGTACGCTTGAAACATTTACAACCATTTTGAATTATATGAATGTTCTAGCATTTTGAACAGTGAATAACAAACATCAATAGAAACATCTAATCGCTTGCCAATGACACAGAAAATACAATTTAATATCCGAAACATAAGTTCATGTTTACACAGATGCTAGATTCTGAAGACTTTTCATTCAACTAAATAAAAATAATAATGGTAAGTATAATGGTATGTATATTGTGCTATTCGAGTCAAGAAAATTAGGTTTAAAAAAATTTTTTTATACCTCCAGAGTAAACATAAAAAAGACTGCTCCTATATACATAACACACGACAATTCGTAGGAAGCTACATAATCCGGATTAAATGAAAAAAACATTACCTTGGCGCGAATTTGTGTGACTGTTAACCCAATTAGATGAATCGGGACGACCAAGTTGTTGTGCAGTTAAAAAATCTCCTATAAGAATTGCTTTACTCGAAGCAGATGGATCCTTTGGACGACTATCGTAAGTTTGATGAGTAAGAACTAAAGAACCACATGAAGGAACAGATGACGTCATCCACTTCTTTGTTGCATCAGCGCTAGGAAAATCAGACATTTCCGATTTTGAATGTGGGTTGTTTGAAAAGGAAGTGACAGACAGAGATGATTTATTGACATCCAGTTTATGACTTGCGGAAGAATCAACTGTGGCCGAAACCGACAATGCTGACGTATCAGTATTCTAAAAACATTTTAAATTATTTCGCTGTTAAGGTCAATTTATGACTAGAGAAAATTGTCGGTATAGTAAGTGAGAAAAAATACATTAACAATTATGAAATCCAACGATTTTTATAACAGATAACATAATATGGTCTAGGAAATAACTTATCATAAGGTAAGAATTTACTATCATCAAACATTTACTATTTCATAGAAATTAGTTTGTCCTCTACATCTATTCTTACAAAGAAGGTAATCTAAACCAAACTAGATATAAATACAAACAAAGAAATTACGTCAAGAAAAATTTGACAACGTTTTATGAAAAAATTTAATTACGATACTTGAGTATTCAACAACTGTGGATTATTGATTTTAATGCGACATAAACGTCTACAAGTGAAGGACTAACTGCATAACTAATACAGATCAAACATGAAATACAACTAGACGATTTAATGGCTATATGGAAAATGTTCATAATACTCACCATTCCGCAAACACTAGCACTAACGGCTGCAAAGCGTGCAGCGGCTGCGTAAATTTCAGCTGCCGTTGTGGATGGGAAAATAATAGATGTATCCGAGTTATCTGTAACCATATGACTAGAAACTGGACAACTCGGAATCACAGCTGAAACTGATGAAGTTGGGTGGTTCTTATTATGTTTAAAACTTGTAACTACATTACTAGTTACGGTATATTGAGATGAACAGGGACCTGTAAAGTATGAACACCATCATGAATACAAAAATCCTTATAATCTAAAAATTTATGAATTGTCAACAACAAGAGATCAGACAAAAATTAGACTCATTAGAATTGGTTATTTTCAATTAATGTAGTCTTACTGATTATTCAGACTAATTATTATAAGGGCTAGTGATATTATTCAGCAACTGAAATAGACGAAAACATAATGAAATTTGATTTAGCTTATCTGATACTCAAACGTTTTAAGCACTACGTGTTTTCTGATGAGCAGGAAAATTTTTGAAGATCTTGAAAAAGTTAACGCACCTTTAAAAATAATAAATCTAACATATTACTTAATTAACAAACCGAAACATGTAGAACTACGTAGTTTAGTTAGAATTCCTTAATGTCTAAAAAAAACAATAGAAACACATGAAACGGACTCAATATAATAAAGCCACTTACTGAACTACAGAGAAGGAATGTGGTAATAACAGAAACAATATGCTGGATAGTCGAAGTAGACTAGCTTTACAAAAAAACACTAAAATGTATACTAACTGGTACTTTATTTTTGAAAATGATTGCTGCTGAATTGAGAAATAATAGAAACATGTCAAGCTTTGAAACAGGGCGTAAATATAGTGTCATTCAAGAACCAAGAAACAGCAGAACAGCAATTTGAAGAACTCTTGAATAAACCAGCCGCACTAAACCGACCCAACATCAAAGCAGCATGCACGGACCTCAAAATCAACGATGACCCATTAAAAATTGGAGAGATCAGTAAGAACGTCAAACAAGTCGACAGTGGTACAGCAGAAACGTCAAGTGCGGGAACATAGACACATAGACAGGATATTTCATTACATATATCTTCTCATTTTCATTTTATTTCACTAGATTGTACTTCTTGAAAAATTTCTTCGAACCCTAGTTTTCTAAGTAACCGCTAACACATCTATTATCTTTACCACTACCGGATTCGAATCGACAATTGCATCTCTTTGTTAATATGGTATGGTACCCTGAACTCATGTATGTACGTACGAGGTCCTACGTTGTTGCTGACTGACTGGCAAAACAGAAAAGCCAGACAACATACCAGCTGAGGCACACTCTCTTCATCAAGGTTTGAAAGATTTAGTAGACACTCAACTTCGAGATCAACGGGCTGGCTTCCGTAAAATTCGACCATGTGTAGGCCAAATCCTGACACTACGCATCAGTAATGTAAATCAATTGAACAGAAATCATCACCATACACTAACTTCCTTCACTATGAGAAAGAATTCAACAAAGTAGACAGGACTGCATTATGGAAACGTCCTCGACAATATGGTGTATCTGAGAACGTAGTCGACATCATACGAAACTATTGCGATGGACTACACCGCAAACTCTTGCATGGAGGCTAGCTCACAGACTCATTCCAAGTGAAGACCGGTGTCAGAGAAGGTTGCTTAGCATCATCTGTTTCTGTTTCTTCTGGTGGCTGACTGCATTTTAAAAAACTCAACATCTCAGAGGAAGAAAGGCGATACACTGGAGGTGGGATGCAGCTGGACGGTTTGGACTTTGAAGATGAACTTACTCTTCTATCTCATATACAACAACAAATGCAGCAGACGGTCAGTGTAGCAGCAGTCTCTGCAGCGGTAGCTCTCAACACACACAAAGAAGCAAGATCTGCCGATACAATATAACATGCGCTAACCAAATCACATTTGACGGAGAAGCTTTGGAAGATGTGGAATCTTACACAAATGGGCAAGATGGATCTGATGCAGATGTGGAGACACTATCAACTAACAATAAAGTCATAAATTTTAATAGAAGCGTCAATACTGTCCTATTGTATGGAGCGGAAAATTGGGGGACATAAAAGCCATCATCCGGAAGATACACGTGTCTATTAACAGTTGTCTACGTAAAATACTCCGGATCCTTTGGCCACACACCAACAACCTACAGTGAGTGAGAATACAGCAGATCCCAAGTGAGGAAGAAATTAGGAAAAAGCTCTCTACGTGGATAGGACACATTGGAGAATATCAGCCAACTGCATCACGAGGCATGTCGGCACTTGGAATGAGAAGGGCAAGATATAAAAGGTAGGACAAGAAACACAGTGCACCGCGAATTGGAAGCAGACATAAAAAGAATGAATAACAGTTGGGTAGAACTATAAGGGAAGGCCCAGAACTGTCTGTTAGAGAATGCTTGTTGGAGGCCTGTGCACCATTAGGGGTAACAGGCCTAATTTAGTATATATCAAATGAAACCAATATGAATTGACGGATACGTCAGATGGATTGCCTGAAAAAATAAACATTTTTGATCGAAGGCAACCGATGATGAACCAAGCTAACCAACCGCCATCTTAATATTAACACATTTAATCCGATGATATTGCTAATATCATCTCAGTTGGGAATGTCAATAAATATGAGAAAATTTCAATGTGTTTGATGTGGACTTTTTACAAGCTATCCAATTTATAAAGATCTCTGAAATGCATTTTAAGCAATGGATTTCAGAAAAAAGTTTAGAAGCTCGACTTCAGTAACCATAATAATAATAGTTATTACCGGATCCATAGTTAGAAATATCTTACCTAGTGAAGAGTTACGGGCAGATAACGTATCAGTTGTGCTCATTTGATTTTCACTTGAAGAAGGCTGGAGAAATACAACCAAAAATACATAGAAACAGGAATATAAATCGGTTCTTAATGGCAAACATAATGCAGCCATAATAAATAATTCAAACACATACAGATCGAAATAGTTTCAGATTTGAGATCACAAACCGACAGGATACCTTTTATTGGTCCCTGAACTAATGATAAAAACCAATCGAAAACTGATTAACTTTCCATAAATAACATAATTAAAGAAAAGTATATACCACTAAAGAGTGTTTCAAATCTGAGACACAAGTTGTCTGCATTTTATAAGAAAATACTATTTGTAATCAAGCAATACAGTTACCATGGGAATGGTCCCATATATTGAGAAGGTAAAAATGTTTAATATTCCTCGATAATATGAGGTCCTAATATTAAATCAACATATACGTGATCGCAATAGAACCAGCGTTTTTATTAAAATGACATATTTTGTACAATCTCCGTGGCACAATGTTCATTAATGATCTAGTGTCGAACCCATTACAAATGCGCTAATAGCTAAGTTAGCATATCAAATTAGCACCGCTACGTATCGTTAGCAAGATGATTCCCTGAATAGTAAGCATAGTAGCAGTATAGAAAGATTTCAGGACTCAGGTATCGATGGGGGATAATAAGTGAATGCGTTTGTGCTATCTAAAACGATTCTGAGCTATGCCCTTTGGTTACAATAATCGGGTAGACCCCAATGAGATAAACTGTATGTACTTACATGGCCTAATTCAAGAGTAAATGGCTTCATATACCGGTCCTAAGTTTTAGTTTGGCCGCCTTTGCTTTTTTCAATCTAATCCAATACTAGACATTATACAAAAAAGTAGGCGATGGTGGAGTATATATCATACGTCCCAACCATCTCAGTTGATGAAGTTTAACTACCTCGTCAATCTATTTGTCAACTTTACCTCGTACTCTATGCCTAACCCTAACAATGCTCATTTGGTGGTCCCAGAATACATGAACAATGGTTCCGAGATACCTATCTTCGAATAATAATAACCCACAAGTGTCCGTAATTAATGGTCATACCTCACAGTCATAAAGTAAAACAGAGAGGACTGCTAATATGCAACCCCTTTTTTGGTTAGTAGATGACATTTCGTTTACGCCACAAGTCACGTAAGCCTACCTAGCTTTCTGTATCCGTGCCCCGATTCCATTAAACGACGTGACTAGCTAGACATATGGCTATCATCACAAGAATACATGCTTTCTTTCCAAGTAGAAACAAGATAGACTTGGTTTTACATTTCACCGTTAAGATGTCAAACTGACTAAGATATTGAAGTCTACTTTTAACAGATACAATTATAGCTCAATCGAGACGTGTCGTAAGATTTAAACATTTCGTTTTGTGACGGAACCTTTTGCATTAAATTAGTCATAATAAGCCCGCTGGAAATAAAAGTGATTGATTTATGGAGGTCTGAGTTTTAATATTTTAGCTATTACTAGTGGTTTGTTCGAAAATTACTATTATCTAAACTACGGTTTTCCGTAAATATTCATTCCAACTAGCAACTGATACTTAAATCCAAAATAATAAATGTACTAGGGTTGACTTAAAACAGTGACTTAATGAATGCAACGCTCGACTTCTTGCCTCATATTCGAACACATATCCTCCTCAGTTGTTATAAATCAAATATCTATTACAGCCGAGTACGCAACGAATTACATTTCATTATCAGCTAAAACAATGGAATCACTTTTTTAGTCACAGTACTGAGGAAAACGAGTTCATCTGAAGACTTTTGATAGGTATATGACTAAATTAGCCAATAGTTCATGTGAAACGTGAGTTACTGAAGACCCTGACGAAGATGGGGCGTGGTGCCTCTTACTAACTAGTGAATGGCCGGTGACGTTTATACCTCAAATAAGTAATTCGGTGATGAGCTTCAAAACACTTAGCAGAAACATCTACTCTGTTAAACAAAATATCATTAAACTTTTTGCAAAAAATAGACTGCTTATTATGATAACATCTTCACGCACTACTATTTGATTTATTTAAAATATTACCTTAGTAAGGTTCTTTTCAATAGCAAAGTGAATCAAATCCTTGATGCGTGTTGAAGAACTGGAAACCGCTGAATGTGTTCGGGACTGAGCCAGCTTACTGGAATCAATCACAGATTCTGTGGACTGAGAATTAGTATCAGAAGAAACAGTCACCTGTTTAAAGGAATCAAAAGTTTATTATAGTTTAAATAATATTTCTTGATGATAGATAGTGCATCATCAAGTAGAAATTAGGCCAGTAAAATATTTTCGAAGCAGCAGTGCAATATGTAAACATTGAACATTAGAGATTACTAAATAAATTTTTTGTTACTGACTAGTCCCACATAACACAAATAAATGTGTTGAAGCGTATTATAAACACCCAAAGGCGGAAATTCTACTGAGACAAAAGTAGAAAACTACAGAAAAGCTTTACCCTAGAAAAGGTCAAACCACTATTCAAATATTACTTACATGGACTGCGGGTTCACTCTTTACATTATCTCCAAACCGTGACTCCTTCTCGATAGTAGGAACTAAATTATCATGTTCAGGTACCTTGACATCTACATTCAGGAGAAAAAATTCTGATGTAACATGTATTCAAAAATAAATCGATGGTCATAACAAAAACTGAAGTGAAATATTTCGCTTGTTGTAAATGAACTACTGATAACTAACGTAAGTAATACATAATGAACTTTATCATTGATGATGACATTAAAACAGCGCACGGAAATATTCACTACTACTGATTTATGGAATTTAAAAAGTTATTGCTAGCGCAGTCAGTTGGTCAAAATATATATCAACCCGGATGTAGTCGTGTAAAGTCCTAGATCCCAACACCACATTAGCACAGAAAAATTACTTAGGTAGTTGGAGTGATAATATTGTCAGTGATTATGAGAAAGCTTAAATAGAGTGGTTCTGTTCCAAAAAAGAAATGTAATAGGAGAATAAGCGGTATGAAATGATTTGGAAATGCCACATCAGACATATTTCAGCTGCAGACCAAATAACTAACAGTCGATGCTTTATTAGCCAAATAAGACTAACGTTCATTATGTAGATATCCATTTATCAAAACTAACAGATATGCTTAAACTACTGCATAGAAAACTTATTACAGCCTATAAAAATAGCACCATCAAGAGCAATTAAAAATATGAAGAAAGCACTAAAACATCACATAATTTTTGATTTAAATATCTTGTTTATAAAATTGAATCTCAATGTTAGTGAGAAAATTTACACCCAAACACACTGAAAAGGAAAACAAAACTATAATAAAACAACAAAGAACTTCGAACGTAAGTACGTACATCAGTTCAGGTTGCCGTACTATATTAGCCCAGTAACATCACATAATTTTTGATTTAAATATCTTGTTTATAAAATTGAATCTCAATGTTAGTGAGAAAATTTACACCCAAACACACTGAAAAGGAAAACAAAACTATAATAAAACAACAAAGAACTTCGAACGTAAGTACGTACATCAGTTCAGGTTGCCGTACTATATTAGCCCAGAGACGCAGTTGTCAGTTCGAATCCCTTGGTCGTGGAGATAGAGAAGAATTAGCGGTAGTGGAGAATATTAGGGATCGAAGATATTATTCAAGAAGTGTAGTTCAGTGAGATGACTTTAGAGAGAGAAATACAGATATGATTAGAAATTCCGAAGATTAGGATTTGAGAAAACACAAAGAACGGATGCACCTGCACCATTGCAAACGATTTTGAGCCATGTCTTTCAATGTCTGTCAGGTAGCCTGCATCTACCAACATGAATCAGTCCACTTGTCAGTGATTTCGTGGATTTCTGCCATGTTTTGTTCTGGCCGCGCCTAGCATTCTTCCAGCCTACTCCTACATTAGATAACATTGTAAAAGAGTCAAAATCACCATGTATGATTTTGCTAACCCGTTCTGTTTTCTTTCTATTTCAGGGCGATCAAACATAAACGCTTTGGAAGCTGAAGAACAAGCCCTGAGTGCTCTGAGCTTACAGAATGACTCATAGGACTTCGGTAAACTAACCACCCTTTTCTGTACAAACCCCGCGTATTTTAATTTTCAAATAAAAGAGTGCCGTGGCTACCACTTCATGTTCTTTCTTGGTGTGTTGTGATTTTAGATCCTATCCGCCCTTCAGTGACTGCTGGTTACACGTGTTACAACATCGCTTATCGAGACAGTCGGTGGTTGGGCATACGTAACACATGTCCCAACCACCTCAACTGATGCAGTTTCAATACTTCATCAACAGACGAAGATAAAATTATCTCTAAAAGCATAGCTATGATAAAGTTGAATAGGAATGGAGAAAATGGACAGCCCTGATGGACAACACCTGAAATAATAAACTCCCATGACAATTGGCCATAAGCTCTAACTCGACTATTAATGTTCGAGTAGAGAGCTTGCAGAAGGTTAATGTAAACGACTATTTGACATAGAATGAGCGCGAACTGCAAAACCGAAGAGTGATGATTAGGATTTATTTGACCCAGAAAATAAATCAAAAATTGATTTAGAGATACACCACTTTTAATATAATTTATTTCTAGGTCGACTAGCGGTCAGATTTATACAAATTGAGCTGCGTTGTATTCAACATCAATAATAACTTAGTACTGTGTTAACACACATTTATAATATAATATGCAATCAAGCATTTATAATCCTAATTATGATATGAATACATGCCACAGACGATTGGGAAAAATTAAATTCCATTTGTCGTGTTGATTACGATTGATCAAGCTATTGCTCGACATATATCACATTTTGTTTGTCGGGAAAATTATGAAAACCAGTCTAAAAAACCAAGATATGGTTATTTTTGAAAGCAACTTCTAAAACATCATACAAATGAATTTTCGACTTGCGCTTACCTGCAGGAACATGAACACTGTGGGGTTCGACGCTGTTTCGAGAACAGTTATTACCACCACGATTACGTCCGTGAGATCCAATATTGTTGTTATCGATATTAGAATGACTTGTATGTTGTGGTGGACGACCACGGCCGGTTCTATTTCTTCCACCCGTATTCCCACCACTTCCACCGTGATGCGTTTCCTTCCTCGTATTCCTGTAACCATCAACATCCTGAAAATAAAGACAGAAATATAGAAGTAGGCGGTCAGTGATTAGTTCAGAATAAATTTTTAAATATGAAGAGTAAGAAAAATATGTTTGTTCCTTGGATAGTATCAAACATACATCATTGTTAAAATGGTTAGAAAGGAGATCCGATATGGTATGAAGACAACTCAGAGAATCTAAGCTTAATATAAAACCATAGTTCTAAGAACACATTACATTGAAAAAACTTTAACCTAACCAATGCTGATGAATAGTCTGATGACTAATAAAACTATTTGGGGAAAACTTAATGCGCTGAAACTCCAGGTTAATTAATTTCGATTATCTTACTTAAGCATCAAGGGCGAGATCATATTTATGGGCTACACAAAAGACTATATTCGGTTTTATGCGTTATGTAGACCAAAACAGAATTTAGTGAGTACCTAAAATCCCGTTCTTATGTATGACAGATATAAGATCTTTTTCTTAGACAGTAGAAGTCTAACATGCAATATAAATCTAACAATAGGATTCTTTCAAGGAGACAGACCTTAACATGATTGTGACCCAAAAAGATACCAAGGCAATTAATTGCAGAAACGTGAGACAACTAAAATCGAGTAGAGATTAAGTGGTCAACCCATGAGAATTATCAAGAAAACCCGAATAAAAACAAGCAATTTATTGAAAAGCAAAGAATAAATACCACCCTTCCTACAGGTACGTTAAGTTCTAAAAGAACCACATCAATTTACGCATATATGGATTGCATGGCAAAAAGTATCCGAAGTCATTAATAAAAGTAGTAAGAACCTTCCGATGTTCAGAATATAACAGTAGACTAATAAAACTACACGCTAGCTATTAATAATGCCTACTTCAATATAATTCAAATGAAGTTCAAGTTCGACATTTCAAACTTGATCATTCAAATCGCTCATTCAAACCCAATGTAGATATCGATAAAGAATTTAAGTTCATTTAAGAATTACTTACAATGAAAATTAGAGTAAAAAATAGGACGTGAAGAATGTTACCTTATGCTCAGCTGTTTCATTAGATTCAAGAAACCCAGAAGAATCACATTGTGAGGAATTTCTCAATCCTCCTGGATCTTTTTCATCTGATTCATTACGTTCTCCACGAGGGGAATTTGTACTTGTGTGCCCATTTTGACAATTACTAGATGGAGGGATCGAGTTCATGTTTGAATTATTGCTGCTATTACCATGGCTGCCGCCACTCCCACCAGCATTTGAATTACTAGCAGTTCCACCAGCACCACCACCTCCTCCACGTTCTGTTTGAGCTGCTCGGCGTCGACGAGCATTATGCTTCTTCAACAACTGTTTATAACCTTCTTTCTTTTTGGATAAATAGTAATAGTGGATACAGTCTGCAACAGATTTACGTTCTAAGTATGAAGCTATCGAAGTAAAATTTTTAGGAGTGGCTAAATAGCGTTCTTTAAACACTTGTTTTTCTTCTTCTGACCACTTAGATAGATCTTGGCTTTCTTGAAGCTGAGCACGACAATCTGTGATCAAACCTGATTCACATATGAATTGATATCGACGCTGCCAAGGTGCAAGCATAACTGGGGGATCAATCGCATACTCCTAAGGACACAAAATTATTGCGAAATACTCTAAAGTTTTGGGCAATTTTGGGGATAACTATTATTGTAGGAATGGGTAAAAATAATATGACTCATTAATCCAACTATAAAAATAAATATACAACTATTAAGACAGAGAAAAGATTATGTAGTTAATTTATGCAGAGACTTCAATAACGACCATTAATTCGATAATGAAACTCAGATTCAAGTGTTTGCTTAAGTGATAAGTGCAGCATGACAATCATGCAACATGAATATTCAGAAACGGTCATAATACAATAAACTCAAGAGAAATATTGTCAACTTACTAAACTTATTTTGGAATTGTAGCTGGAAAATTAATTTGTGACAAACCTGGACTATTCGTTATATACAAGAGTTTTATGAACAAGACATTGCAGCTATTTTTCTAAAATGACACAGAATCAGTCTCAGTACTTACTTACTTACGCCTGTTACCCCCCAATGGAGCATAGGCCGCCCACCAGTTTTCTCCAACCAACTCTGTTCTGGGCTTCCCTTCCCAGTTCTGTCCAATGTTTGTTCATCCCTCTCATATCTTTCTCTATTTCTCGGCGTAATGTATTCTTTGGCCTTCCTCTTTTCCTTTTGCCTTGAGGGTTCCATGTGAGGGCTTGTCTCGTGACGCAGTTAGGTGCTTTTCGTAGTGTGTGTCCTATCCACTTCCATCGCTTCTTCCTGATTTCCTCCTCCACTGGAATCTGGTTTGTTCTCTCCCACAGTAAGTTGTTGCTGATAGTGTCTGGCCAACGAATCCGAAGTATTTTGCGTAGACAACTGTTCATAAATACTTGTATCTTCTGGATGATGGCTTTCGTAGTTCTCCAAGTTTCCGCTCCATACAGTAGAACTGTCTTCACATTTGTATTGAAAATCCTGATTTTGGTTTTGGTTGAAAGTTGTTTGGAGTTCCAGATATTTTTCAACTGTAGAAATGCAGCTCTTGCTTTGCCAATTTGCGCCCTCACATCTGCATCGAATCCACCTTTCTCGTCGATGATGCTGCCCAGATATGTAAAGGTGTTAACGTCCTCCAAGGCATCTCCATCAAGAATGATCTGGTTGGTGCATGTTGTGTTGCATCGGAGAATTTCGCTTTTTCCTTTATGTATGTTCAGACCTACTGATGCTGAGGCTGCTGCTACAATGGTCGTCTTCTCTTGCATTTGTTCTTGCGTGTGTGATAGAAAAGTCAGGTCATCTGCGAAGTCCAGATCGTCCAGCTGCGTCCTAACTGTCAAGTCGATACCGTGCTTACCGCCAGATGTTGACGTTTTCATAATCCAGTCGATCACCAGGAGAAAGAGAAAGGGTGGGAGTAAGCAACCTTGCCTCACACCGATCTTCACCTCGAAAGAGTCTGTTAGCTGTCCATCGTGTACGATTTTGCAGTTGAATCCATCATAAGAATTCCGTATGATGTTAACTATTTTCTCAGGCACACCGTAGAGTCGAAGAAGCCTCCACAGTGTTTTCCTATCCACACTATCGAATGCTTTCTCGTAGTCGATGAAGTTGATGTAGAGTGATGAGTTCCATTCTACTGATTGTTCCACAATGATCCGTAATGTAGCAATTTGGTCAGCACATGATCGATCCTTACGAAATCCGGCCTGTTGATCTCGAAGTTGGGCGTCTACGTAGTCCTTCATTCTGTTTACCAATACCCTGTTGAAGACTTTGCCTGGTATTGAAAGGAGAGTGATGCCTCTATAGTTCTCACACTTGCTGAGATCGCCTTTCTTTGGTATTTTGATGAGGTATCCTTCTTTCCAATCTGATGGTACTTGTTCCTCATCCCAAATCTTCTCGAAGAGAATGTGAAATATATTTGCAGTTGTTTCCACGCCTGCTTTCATCGCCTCTGCTGTAATGTTGTCTGGTCCTGCTGATATGCCGCTCTTGATTTGTCTGGTGGCCATAATGATCTCTTCAATTGTAGGTGGGAGGTCCGTGGATGCTGCTTCGATGTTGGGTGGGTTCAGTGGAGCTGGTCGATTCAAGAGTTCCTGAAAGTGCCCTACCCACCTATTTCGCTGTTCTTCAGTGTTGCTGATTACTTTGCCTTCCTTGCTTTTCACTGGTCGTTCTGGTTTACGATAGTTTCCGGCGAGCTTCTTTGTTGTTTCGTACAATTGTCTCAAGTTTCCGTCTCTTGCAGCCTTTTCCGCCGTCATTGCTAGATCTTCCACATATTTTCGTTTGTCAGCTCTGATGCTCTTCTTCACTTCCTTGTTTGCTTCTGTGTGTGCAGCATGTGCCTTCAGTGTATTGTGCAGGGCGTGGAATCTATTGGTGAGGACTATCCTGAATTCGTTGAGCTTTACGGTATCCGGAAGAAAGGCTGCATTATACTTGTGTGATGTTGTCTGTACCGTTGTCCAGTGCTTCTTTAGTTTCAGTTTCATTTTGGCGATCAGCAAATGGTGATCTTATGCTACATCAGCTCTTCTCTTGGTTCTCACATCCTCCATAGTCCTTCTGAACGTTTTGTTGATACAGATATGGTCGATTTGGTTTTGAGTAGTGTGATCCGGTGAAATCCCATGTAGCTTTGTGTATGCGGTTGTGCGGGAATATTGTGCCACCAATCACCAGTTTGTTGAAGGCACATAGGTTTGCAAATCTCTCACCAATTTCGTTCCTTTCTCCCAGTCCATGTCGTCCCATGATGTCTTCATATCCAGTGTTGTCCATTCCAACCTTGGCATTCAGGTCTCCCATAAGAATCGTCAAATCCTTTGGTGAACATTTCTCGACGATTGACTGCAGCCTTTCGTAGAATTGATCTTTAACGTCGTCATTGTAGTCATTGGTAGGTGTATAACATTCGATGACGTTCATTGTAATGTCCTCTTTCTTTGTTTTGAAGGATGCTTTAATGATCCTCGGTCCATGAGATTCCCATCCTATCAGTGCCTTTTGTGCATGTTTGGACAGCATCAGTGCAACTCCTTGTGTATGTGAAGGATTTTCCTCTTCATGACCAGAGTATAACAGCAGTTCCTCTGAAGCTAGTCTCAGTTGTCCTACCTGTGTCCAATGCGTTTCACTGATGCCGAGCACCTCCAGGTTGTATCTTTTCATTTTGCTGCAACTTGAAATAGTCTTCCAGTCTCCCACAATGTACGAACGTTCCATGTACCTAAAAGAATGGTTGCTCTGGTTGTCAGAAGAGGCATCGGCCCCGTGACTTCCGATGGAACTCGGCTTTCATGACGCGACGTCATAATTCTTCTTCCAACTCCCAGGGCAGAGTTAAAATGGTTTGAAGTAGTTTTCTGGTTAGCGTTTTTTTGGCAAGTTAGTTTTTGACGGAATGGGGTCGGCAACCTCATGTCCAACCCTCCTCCTTTACCCGGGCTTGGGACCGGCAGTAGCCCCGAAGGTTCTACTGGCGGAGTCTCAGTAACACAGATATATTTACTTTCCCACTTTTCCTACATCTTGAATTTTGATAGTAATAATAGTAACAATAACAGTAATAATAATAATAGTTTTATTCAATATTATATGTTCTGTACAATATAGAATTCTCAGAACAGGTTTCCTATACAAAACAATTAGTGATCGTCAATTAGAAGTGTCTCAGGAATCAACACCTTATCAACGTTTATCCTTTTATTAGCATACTGCGATGCCTTAGATTGTATCTTTTCGCAACTTGTGAAGTGACAGCTCGTAAAATTTGTAGGTTGAGATTAAGGGGGCGTAAGTTACGTCTTAAAACCAACAGAAAGGGGTGATCTGATGCTAGGAAACGGATAATAGCCTAGATATCCAAACAGGCTGCCGATTTTTATAATGACTAAATTCACTATATTTAGTCTTATTGTTGGTTGATATTACTTTTATTCTAACTCCTTTCCTTTTTAATTACTCTATTTCAAGTCACTTTGATGATAGTGTGGAAACTTTGGTACGTATACACTTTGCAAAATCATGCGTTGGTAATGATATACTAAATAACTGAAGGCGAGTAAAACCCATATACGTAAGATATATACAACTACTTTGATGTATGTGCTAGTCATCAAATGGTGAACGAATAACTACAAGCGGGAATGAAGTCGTGTAAAAGATAATGAGGTTGAGCTTCAATTCACTTCGTCAATGAGAGAGAGTATGCTGTGTTAACCAGTAAACCCGATATTTGTTATTTTCCAAGAGTAATTCCATTCGACATTGACGTACAAAACTAATGAGTCTACTGAAATCCTTTGGATGATAATATTAACAACAACGAAAATGTATTGCTTTGAAATCTAGTCACGTTACCTTTTTGCGAATTTAATCCCGTACTGTAGATTTTTGATCAAATATTTTTACTTCACACCAACTATCGGAACACAAGAGCAAACATAACATCTGTATTGTAAATCTAAATCCATAAATGACGTATATCGATATACTTCTCGAGTTACAGTTAGTGACTGCACTTCAACTTACAAAGAGACACGGAAGATAAACTGTTTATTAAGGATCAATAATACCTAAAATATTTTTCCACATCAGCGACAAAAACCGAACTGCCAAAGTCAAAACACAACTGTAGATAATGATCCTATCAAAAACCTTTAAATCCACTTGTTTGAATATATGCATTGTGCTAAAGTAGCATCGACATTACAGGATAAACACGAGGTGGTCGGTAGTCAGAGTTTTGAATTTTTAGTAAAATGATTAACAATCAAACTTCTGGTTACGAAATAAGCTACATGAGTAACATCTGAATATCCTTAGCAACATAACGATACTGATTTTAACAAATGAAACAACTCTGAAGTTGTTTATTTGGAGAACATTTGTAGCGAAAAAGGGAAATTATTTACTGAAAAAATTACCTTTAATTTATTCATTTCTTCTATCGCATCGTAAGGAGTAGTCTGAGAACCATCAGTTAGGTTAGAAACCCCACCAGCATCTATATTCGGTGGGCAAAACAAGTAGAAAAACAGAAAGTTCATGTGATAAAAAATGCAGAACCTGTTTAGAACTATTCTGAAAGAAGCCAACACCAATGTTACACTCAACTATTGCAGAAAAGTTGAGCACTGAGTAGAATGAAATGACGATATACTTGTTTTATCCATTGGAAATAGAATTTTCGACGTTTTATGTAGGTCTCGTCAGAGTAAATAAGTAACCGAATCGGCACAGGTTTAAATGGTATAGAGAAACAGACAAGATAATTAGTTCAGTCAATATTTAAATAGGTTTAATCATGTCACTTTCATGCCAATCCTGAACAACGTTATTCTGTGTATATTTATGTATACGCTAGTTGATATATAAAATGTAAACTTCGTAATACGGAGTAGATTTGAAATTTGTGTGCATGTGCATTAATGGTGCGAGAGATTAGTGAAATAAAACGCGACTGTTTGGATAAACGGTCCGAGTTAGATAGATAGTTAAGCCTTCTTTTCTAGTGAAAACAGAAAGATTTAGCAGTGTACGAACCGTCTCAACTGCTCGCCTTTTTTACGATTATTAAAGCATTTCCGAATTATCTTGATATATTTAATATTGACTAGGTCGCTAAAAATAGCACGTACTGCAATTGCCAACTTGGTTCGTAGATATTTTAGTTTTACGGGATTATCAGGTCCTTTTGTGTAACTGAGGTGTTCCATAACACGAATCGAAACATCACAACTCTCTAACATATAAAGGATTATGATCGTCACAACCTAATCTGTAGATGCGATTCCATATGAATGTAAGAGGGATTTTCCTTTGATTTGAGCTAGTGTTTCGAAGTGTTAGTTGTTTTACAGAAATTTCTAATTCTGCATGCATTTATAATGTCTTTTATAATTCCTTTGACGTACCATCGAGGTAAAACTACAGCACCAATTATAGTTTATTAGGATTGTTATTCAATGATGGATCGCTTCGCTTTGATATACTGTTGATGATATTCATAAGAAAATCACATGTTTATCAAACTAACCCTCCCTTCAGTTTATCTTCGGAAGCAATAATCGTGGTTCCTCTTCTGAATAAATTTGGAGCCAGGGAAATTTTTGCACTGAATGGATCTGAGATTAAATTCGATGTCTCTTTGAATGTGTCACTTTTCACTACATGGTTAAATATAGGTTTCCGTTCGAATTCCTTTTAATTTAAGTCTAAGAGCGGTGGCTTACTAGATTCATCTTTCTTTAGAAAATGTGTTTGGTGTGATCTAGGGATTAATTAGAAATTTAGAAATTTCTGATGAAGGCCTAAATTAGTTCAAATATGCCATTTACACATGTGAACCGAATGCACACTCTGAAAACAACCGCACAAATAAGCCATCACTGAGTAGTGCTCAAAATTTTTGAAGACAGATAAATAAATCATTAGGTCACTCCAAACTCAGTGGTTAAGGAGTTCTAATCCCAGTCACTATGTCGTAATTTTAAATATAACTTCATTTACTCTAGTCCAAGAAACCGGATGCTATCACTATTTATCACAATTGAAATGTGACCCTAAAACAATTACGTTAATAAATACCTGATAATGGGTTAATACTAATAACTTAACAAGGAGAAAAATACATAGGCTGAAGTTACCAATGGAAAGGCGTAAGATTGTGTGAGATATGATATCAAACAAACGCAAACTAATTTAACAACAATAGATATACCGTCCTCGATTCCCGACTTGGCATATTCATTGTTCCCCATCTCCCTGTCTTCGCGATTTTTCTTCACTTCCGGCATCGCTTTCTCAAAAATATCTCGATGACGAAGATCACGTTGACGACGTTTGGTTGTACTGAGCAATTTGTCCATCTTTTTAGTAAATATCTGTAAATCCATAAGTACGTTATATGAATAATTTAAACACAAGATCAGGCATTGTGTATAGTCGATTCTACATTTTTATTAAAAATCATATGTGCGATGTAGAAACAAGAATGACCATTAGGTAAATGATGCATAGTGAACTTGATGCGGAAATCACCTTAACTAGTTTGGAAAACTCAAAGTATAAGTTACAGTTAGGTTGGATTTGAAACAACCACATGGCATAATATATTATGAAACAATAAGAATGGATGTCTAGCTAAAAATATGATACAAGAATTCACCATGCCAACTAATCGGTGAAACCATAGAATTCAACATTGTGAAAAAGTATGAGTATATTTTATGCAGAGATACACCCTATTTTACTATGGTTATGTAATGTGTTGTAATGTTTTTTAACAACAATGATTAGCGGCTAAATTACTGTCTATGAAGTCGATTATTGCAATTAGAAGTTTTATGAAAAAATATCTTATCATTTAAAATCCACTAGAAGAATAGATGTTTGTACTAGGTATAGATATATCTACCAAAAACTACTATGTAGGATGCTCTTAAAATATATGAACATACTCTAGAATTTCGTCCGTATTGCTGAGCCAAAAAATTGATACGACTCTGTTCAGCACGGAGACGTCTTTGAAGATAAATAACCAGTTTTGGACGGAAATGATTGTGAAAGTTGGACTGTATAGCCCTCACACTTGATAAATCGGACGGTTGGCGATAAAATGGTAGAGCATGTGGTCCAGGTCTAACTTTCGGACCACAAAGTCTCGTGAAAATAAGATGACGCTGTCGAGTGCGTTGGCGGTTTTCAGAGATAATTGCCTGAAATCAAAAGAGTGAAAAACTAAAGCCAAAATTTGAAGGCAACGAAAATAGTATCTATAAATGTAGCACTAGCTATTTTACTACCGTTTAGGATTGAGTAAACAACAAAAGCGAAGGAGTACTTCAAAATTGATGTCCTATAAGTTAGTTTAACAACATATAACTACTGCCTTTTTTAAAGCTGAAACTAGTGGTTTCAAACTTTGTTCGAATTTAAAAACTAATGGAACACAGATTATTCACCAATGGTTGATAGCAGGTAATTCTCGTACTCCAATGTATGAACTTTACATTTGTTTTTAGCATGAAAATAGGTTCTATATAATCCAATCTACATATAATCATAAAAGTATTACCTGTATTGGGTTTTCATAATTTCGTTCGAAACCGGTTTTACTGACGAACGATGCATCCGGAAGAGCAAGATCCCCTTTATTCGATTTAACCTCAAGATCGTTACTGTTTGAATTATTATTTGATGTGTCGCGTGTAGGAGCTGCCGCAAGTCGGGCGGTTAGACGAGCTTCCCGCTCACAAAGATTTCTTAGGTGAGATTCTTGTTTATTGATATCAGCATCCAGTACCGTCAGCTGACGATTAATTTCTTCCCTTTCACGGTGAAGTTTCGCATCTTGAGCATCTACTAGACGAGATTCATCAGGAGCAGGGGATATGGCTTCAACCTAAAAATATACGTAAACCTATAAGCAATATTTACTGAGTGGAAGTGACAACAAACTTTACCGATTAGGGCTACTGACATTTATTGAGGAACTTGGATAATGATTACTACAAGAATATGCTCGGAAAAGTTGACCAATTTATAACAATAGCATTTATTTTGCGTTACTAAATGCTAAATGTAATGTAATAAATGAATGAGCTTCTTACCTCATAATACTGTTGTATCATTTTATTTATTGGAATGCTCACCTATGTAATTGGTCTCAGTTTCCATAGATCTAGAAATTAAGAGGCCAGATATCCGTCTGTTAACCAGAGGACAAGCCTACTGTGCAGTAACTCGTTTAGTCCTACTTCATTGCTGTGAAACATAGCCGGTAAGATTATAGGACATTCGTAGCTTACTGGTATTCTATTATAGATGTCTTCGAAGCATGCTCGTATATCCTGGGACAGCCAAGTAAGCAATGCTGTTGTTAGGAAACGAGTTCTAGGTAGGGATGGCAGATCAGTTGATGAAGTATTGAAACTGCATCAGTTGAGGTGGTTGGGACATGTGTTACGTATGCCCAACCACCTACTGTCTCGATAAGCGATGTTATCTAATGTAGGAGTAGGCTGGAAGAATGCTAGGCGCGGCCAGAACAAAACATGGCAGAAATCCACGAAATCACTGACAAGTGGACTGATTCATGTTGGTAGATGCAGGCTACCTGACAGACATTGAAAGACATGGCTCAAAATCGTTTGCAATGGTGCAGGTGCATCCGTTCTTTGTGTTTTCTCAAATCCTAATCTTCGGAATTTCTAATCATATCTGTATTTCTCTCTCTAAAGTCATCTCACTGAACTACACTTCTTGAATAATATCTTCGATCCCTAATATTCTCCACTACCGCTAATTCTTCTCTATCTCCACGACCAAGGGATTCGAACTGACAACTGCGTCTCTGGGCTAATATAGTACGGCAACCTGAACTGATGTACGTACATCCGTACAGGGTTTTACTCTGTAGCTGATTGACTGTTTAGCATTTAGTACCCATAGATATCTACATTGGATGTTGTAGGAAACGTGACCTCGCAGCTTCATGACTGGAGGTAGGACTTTGGAAGACGTGTTAAAAACACATTCCACTTACAGCGAAACTTTTAAATCAAGCATAATTACTTATATTACTGAGAATTGTGGTAATGCTCATTTAATTATTTACATCACCTGCAACTTTGATGACCAACTTGACAACAATAAAATAACCACTTGGAAACGAGAAGTGAACGATGTACATTTCACTTTATGAGGATGATTTTAAATTTTACTTAATGTAATTAGCAGTGACTTAACAATAACATTTATCATAACAACCTTAAAATTTCTTCAATAACTCAGGTAAGTACGGTAAAACACTGAGAGGATCTAACAAAATCAAACGAGCACACAGACGTACTAAAGTCCTTATACCTTTGTGATAGTGCTTAAAATAAATCACAACTCACGAATTCCACTCTCAAACATCCAGTTGCTTCGTGAAAGTTTAGTAAATTTTCAGTCGGTGCTTGAAGTTAACCATGTGTAAGCTCAATTACATTAGGAAAAAAACAAATTCTTATATACATCTCAAAAACGTCAATACTTCTGACAGAAAAAGCTTTGAGATCTTATTATTTCCGTTAAATAGAAATTCACTGAAGTAGCAGAAGCAGAAAAAAATGGCGAAATCTACGAGGCCCAAAGCACTAGACTAGAAACACGTACCTGTGGATGGTAGGCCGGTTCTTTAGTTTGTTGTCGAAGTACGCCACTCCCTTGAGGGAGGTTAGAATGGCCCATCATATGTTGAGATCCTGGTTGTGGTAAAGGATGATTTGATTGGTGGAAATTGCTTTGACTAGGATGTGTAGGAGCATGTGGGTGGTGAAGATGGCCAGAAATTAGGCGAGATGGGATTTGAGAGACCGATGTTGGATGTGATGCTTTTGCTGGCATATGTGACGAAGGGGGCTGACTAATTGCAGACTGTGATCCTAAGACAGATGCGCTAACTAGAGTTTGCCCAGAAGTTATTGCCTGGTTAGACACAGTTGCATGAGGAAACGATGATCTATTATTGTAAGAGTTTAGAAGGGAACCAGGTAAGGTACCCATCAGAGAAACTGGATATGCTGAACTGGAAGATGGTAAGACATGTTGATTATATAAATGAGTACTAGAAGTTGAATTATTACCAACTGAGCCGTGATGTTGAATATGTGGTTGATAAACAGCTTGGTTTGGAGTGGTGACCGACGATGGGTTTGATACGCTACTATTATTAATCGATGTATAAAAAGGTGTGAGAGCTGCTGCTGCTGCAGCAGCAACTTCAGTGACTGCAGAATAAGCACTCGGATTTAGAAAGTTAGAACCAGCTGCAAGACTTGCCATTGCCTTACTAGCGACAACACTACCCAGCAAAGCTTCCATCCCAGCTGGCGCAATGGTGTTTGTTACATGAGCAGAAGGTAGGGATGAAATGGCGTGTGGTAGTTGGGATCCTATGGAAATGCGAGGTCTTTTGTTGGGATGAGTTGAAGGAGGGGCCAGTTGTGAACGGCGATTCTGAAAAAAACGATTAAAATGTATGAAAGAAAACATTCGGGTAACTTTGCAATCAGTATTAAGCAAGTTGTTTAAGGACAAACTAAACTGACAATCAGGAATAGAACTAGATGCCAGCTATTTAAGTAAGAATTTATAGTCAATTGAGAAAAACACTGTAGCATTTATACGTCTTACGTTTCAGTCAGTGATTGAAACGATACGGAGATTGTTTTGTGTATATAACAGCACAAACTCACTAAACACTTGGTCTACTGGAAATGGAATGATTATACCTTTTCGACGCATTACTAACACAAGAATTTGAGGTCTATGTCATCTCAACCAAGATGCAACGACAAATGTTTGGAGATGTACGGTAATGACTCAAAACGTTCAAATACACATCTCCCTCAAAATCCTGAGTTTCCAAACTTTATACTCTGCTTCGTCCTTTCTATTCGATGTTCATAAAAGACAGTATTATAATCTTACTGATTTCTTACCGCTTTTGTGTAGTGAAATAGGGTCATGCACAGTTAAACGGATTCCCAAGTTGGTTATGATTGACTGAATACATGGGACACACTAAGTATGCTCAATTGAGATTGATTGTTAATGATGTAGAAAGGGAAAGAAAAATTTGATGTCTCATTTAACCCACTGCCAGGTTCATATATGTGCTCTTACAGTAAATCGTGTTAAGATTTCAAATCTTAGGTAAACCACGTGAAATGACTGCCAGAATGTGTTAGATAATTTCTGATAAGATTATAGCTCCAAATTCATTAGCCACTGGACTACTGTGGAGTAAATATTTTAGAGATAAAATCACAAACCTCCGCTAACTCTTAAACTTAGGCTGGTTTTATTCCTTGATTAGGAGCTATTGAAATATACTCACAAAAACATATTATATTTTCAATTCTGACACTTTACAGTTAGTAAGGAATCCGTTTAGTGACACTAAGGAAAGAAACTAACTTGATAAATACTGCTTCCAGGACTGGGTGACAGTGATGGTGAAGCCCTCGTTTGGTGATGTGCGCTATGAACATTGTGATCCAGATGTGAAGTAATCGGCTGTGATGGATTGATATGAGAACTCATTGTCCCGAATCCTGGAGGACCCGGATGATTTCCACGGTGATGAACAGCCTGAGACGCTGAAGCTGGACGAGCTAAAATAAGAATTAACCTTTATGTAGACAGCTGAACTCAATTACAACTACCTAAAAATAAAACCATGAAATTCTTGTTTTACGGCTAACTTAATCCCCGTTTTCTTGTCTCACTGGTTAAACTAATTATCGACGAACTAGTTATACTTCTATCGACTGAAACATATTTCGTATGAACAGCCATTGTGAACCTATCATTTTTACGTTGGGTTGTTTTACGGTTGACTACTTTTGTTGTCTGATCACCGTAAATGTAATCTTAAATTTAAATAATTGACTCATTGTCGAAACACATGTATATTTCCAAATGCTTGGATGTGTCCAAGTAAATGACAGTCTTGTGACTTACACACACGTTATTAAAGTGAATTCAACCGTCATTCTAGTGAATCTGATACCAACTACATAACACCTCGATGATAAAATTCTAAAACCAGCGTAAACAAATGAATTGATATGATTGAGTGTTGGACACACTGAAAATACATCCTAATTGCTTTGTCCGGTAGTTTATAAACACATTTATTAAAGACTACATGGACAACTAATGATCGTCAGTGGCATTTAAAGTGACGTGGCGTAATTTCAACATTTATGATGGGATTTGTTCAACGGATACTAGCTCCCAAAACAGCTTGTGTGGATTATGAAGGTTATAGTATTATCACCATAATACGCAGGTACCAAGACCCAGACGAAGTCCACTGAGGTCAGTAAAGTACTAGTGGCTGCCGTATGAATAGATAAGGGCTTGATAAAACATAGCATCTTGTCATAAAATGCAAAACATAATAGCTAATAATGGCAACACTTACTGCCGGATGCAGTTGAACCCATTTGGATCGAATGTCCTGAGTGAAATTGAGACTGAATACTAGGGGGTCGCTTTTGGTTGCCTTGATACGGTGTTTGGACTGAGTGGACCGGCAGTCGAGGCGACTGCCGAGAGCTGTGGACACTGAGAGGAACTGTAGGAGATGATGATTTTGATATAGACGTGACTGCTGCTAGAGCCTGTGCGAATGTGATTCCAGGGACGTGACCAAGCGTTGCATTTCCCGAAGCAGTTGGACCGACGGAGCGTTGAATTTGTTGCTGCTGCTGATGGTAAGCGGCTGCCAGAGCGTTGAGTTGTGACTGACTTAGATGGCTACAAATCTGTGCTGCAGCAAGCATATCTTCTGGGGTTAACACCCCTGCAGGAAACCCAGCTGATCATACAAATTTAAAATGTAATCAAGACAAACGATTACCTTCGATACTGATTATCAAAACCACAAACTAGACATTTGTATTCAAACGGAAACCCACACAAATATAATGGTTCCGCTTATTATACCGTCCAATGCTGATTAAAATAGAAGTTCTAACTGGAGGCCAGTCAAATGGAGACCATGCCACTATGCAGCTAGTAGTGAAACTGTTGCAGCTACAGAATATAAGCTGATCAAATTTTATTCATTGGGGTTTTCCTGGGTAAATATGTTTTTAGAAACTACAAAAACTAATGTCGCTGACGGGGATATAAACCATGACTTTACAATGACGTGACACATGCAATATAGTAAAATGACATTAGCCTCCACAAAGTGGTTGTTAAGTGGTCGTCCCACAAATATCGGGTTAGATTTCAAAAATCACTAAAATTCATCCCTCCCCAATAGCACTATACATAGAGGCTATGTGCTGACAATTAACAACTGGATTTCGGATTAGCATCGATCAAAGACAAACTATACAGAAAAAATTTAGATGCTAGCTAGTCCGACAAGAATATCTAAGGAACTCACTTGTGAGTGCAGAACCTGCATTTGAAAAACCTTCAGACCTCCCACTTCTACTTATACTATTGACATAACCCTGTTCGGGACTGGGAGCAACCCGCGAACCCGGTGGTAAGGCGTTAGGAGGTAAATGACTTTCGGATTGTAAGCGCGAAATTGTGTCACACATGTTGGACAGAAAGCCGACTGTTGCTGTAGAAGCGTTCGGAACATTACTTTCCCTTGATCTAGTATGCTGAGTACCAACAGTAGAAACACCAGGAAATGACTGAGAATTCACATTCTCCGGTTTAGAACAAAACTCCCCCATAGCCCGACCAACTGTGACTACTGAGTTGAGTTTTCCGCCTTTTACCTATGAGGTAGTAATTACAAACAAACATATTATAAACATTGAGTCTATTTTGAAGTGTTTAATGGAACTAATAATTCTTGTTTCGTAGTAGTGGCAGTTTTCTACCAGCACAGGTACAATAAAATTTAGTTCAGGGTCTTCAGACTTTAAAAAGTTTAACTGGTAAACAGAAATGAGGTTCAGTAAAACTGATTATGCATATGCACAAAAAGAATTTCAGGACCCACAGCCTTAGGCATGTAGATAGTAAAAAACTTTATGGGTCATTTGTCTTACTTAGCTGTGTGATTATTTCAGTATTGGTCAGCTATGACTTTTATAAACTTATGCAAATAGCAAAAATGTTAGCAATTTGGCTGCAGTAGCAAGATGACTGAGGAATATCTTTGGACCCAGGGGTATGCACTCAACTATTTTAGCAGATCACAAGAGTTTATGGTGTGAGAAGTTTTAATGTCTATACCAGATGTTAAGCCGGGCATACAGAAAAATAAAGTGGTTGTAACTATAATCTTACTTGGCATCATTAATTTCAACTAGCCGTTCAAAAAAATGAGAGTACTGAAAGTAAATCAAAGCTTCCGTAACTATTTATGCTTATCCTTACGATTAAGCATGGCAGCCTATATTGCGACGATTATTCAATATAAATCTCTTTCAATTTTTTTAATAACATTCAGTGCAGACGTGGTAAATTATCATTCTGAAACACGAATTCTGACTCAGCTTGTGATGACTAGGTGTAACAATTCCATTATTTTGTTAACTTGTGCTCATCTGTGTTTGATTCCAATGTCTTACCTGAGAATCCCTTTAAAATTCATTTGTTTTTTACCCGTTTTTTCAACTGTTAATTGTATTCAACTACTATTTCGGTGTATAGGAACATTCGGTATTCTGGATAGGTTGAATTCATTTCAACACAATCAATCTCAAAAAACACGTCCGGAACAACGAGACGCTATTCAAACATAACCAGACCAAATCTTTAGTCTCGAATAAGGGAATAAGTGTTGTTCAAAGCAAATTTTCCGAGGCTCACTAAGGTACAACTAACAGGTCCACCCCTCTGATATCATGTAATGTGCTCCCAACCATTTTAGGTTTCATGAGTTTCTGACTTCCAGGGCACGCAATATATGTTCACTAGGATGTCTGAATGATGTAACTCAAAATCAGAACAATAGACATTTAGTATCTTTCACTTTAGGAAAACCGACTCACCGAAAAAACGCTAGCCAGGAAAAATAATTCAAAACATTTCACTTTACTCTGCCAGTTGGAAGGTTTTCATTTACAGGAGTTATGATGCCCCTTATAGAAGGCCGGGTTCCTTTGAGAGTCGCATAGCTGATGTCCCTCCCCACAACGAGAACAATCATTACTTTGGGTACACGTTGTGTTCGTACACTGTGAGAGACCGGTAGTCAACCAAGTTGCTTCAGTAATGAAAAGGTACAACCTTGTGTTTATTTTGAATCAGTGTAATGCACAGAGTACAAATCGGACAACATATACTAGCTTATAGAGAGTTGCTCTTATGCTCCGTCCATGAACAAGATGTCTCACACACAAGGAGTCGCACTGTCACTATCCGAACAAGCACAAAACGCACTAATCGGATGGGAATCTCATGGACCAAGGATCATCAAAACATCCTCCCAAACAAAGAAAATCGTCATTACACTGAATGTCGTCCAATGACGTGCACCTATCAACGATTACAATGAACACGTTAAAGATCAGTTCTACGAGAGGCTGTGTTCAATCGTCGAGATGTTCCCGTCAAACGACTTGACCACTCTGATGGCATACCTAAATGCCAGGGTTGGAATGAACCCCACTAGATATGAAGACACTTTGTTAGTGACTGACTATGATCACCACTAAATGTTCCATACTATCCCGTCAACAATAAATCCATGTTCGAATATTTATTGAAGGAGAAAGTAAGCATTACATAGAGAGCAGCACGTTAAGAAAAATGGCTGTAACGCGAAAAGAAAGTTACGCGCAAGAAGTGTTTTCGGTACAGTTAAACTATAATAAATGTTTATTTTTCACCAATTGCGTTTTCTTCGTAGAAGTGTTCCACTAAAACATCATGGGACTACATGGACTAGGAGTAAAGAACGAAAATGATGAAAAATTTGCAAACTTATTTGCCTCCAAAAAACTGGTCAATAGTGGCACAATATTTTATTATAAACGCATACACGAAGCCAGAAAGATTTCACCCGATCAAAGAACGGTGAAACAAATCGACTACTTCTGAATCAATTTAAACTCCATAATAGCCATGGTGGACGTGAGAATCAAGAAAGGTAACATAGCTTCAGATCGTCGCTTTCTGATCTCGAAAATGAAAGTTAAACCCATGAGGCACTGGCTAATAGGGAAAACTATATCACATAGGCTTAATACGGCCTTTCTTTGGGACTCTAGCGAACTCAGCGAATTCAACAAGGCTTTCAGCAACAAGTTCCAGAGGTAAACAATGGAGAGGAAAATACCATGTTGAACAACTTCACAATGTTCAAAGAAGTAAAAACCTCAACATGTCATGAGGTTCTGGGCCGCAAGAAAAGTCATCACAAGAGACACATATCGGATACAACGAAGAATCTCTCTGGAAATTATTGGAAACCAGAATAACCAGTCAGCGAAAGGAAGGTGAAGCAATCACCGGTATTCAAAAACAGTGAAACAGGCAGGCAGAGCACTATGAACGACTCTTGAATAGATAAGTCTCACCGTATCCAGTCAACATCAAAGCAGCTCCTATAGACCTCCCAAATGATTTTGACACACTAGCTACTGAAAAAATCAACATGACTATCAGACAAGTCGAGAGGGACAAAGTAGAAAGGCCATTTTGATGAGGTATCCTTCTTTCCAATCTGATGGTACTTGTTCCTCATCGCGAATCTTCTTGAAGAGAGTTTAAAGTATTTTCTTAGCTGCTTCCACGTATGCCTTCATTGCCTCTGCTGGAATGTTGTCTGGTGCTGCTGCTGTAGATTCTTTTTTGAATGTTTCGTTTTTTGGAAAATCCCTCGATGTATATATATATTTGTGTTATGATATGACTGACTCTTTCTGTTGACATTTTGGTACTCTATTTGATTCCATTTTGAGATTTTATCATTGTATATTGTTTTTATTTCTATATCTTGTACTTATATTGAAGTTTTTATGTTTCCTTCTGAACTGTACATATGTTGTTTAAATTCGATACTTAATATGGCTACAGCCATATTTGGATTGATACTCTAGCAGTAACGGACTGGAAGCACTTATTCTTCCAGAAACGGAACCCATTGTGGTAAATGGAAATTCAGAGGTGTAATATTGTTTTTGGCAATTGTCTGTATTTCCCTTTCTTAACTAAAATAGAAACGTTTTCTCCCAGAATTATCGTTTCTGGTCCCGGACTGGGCGAGACGCGTATGAACCTGCAGCTGGCGAGTTAAAGGTGAACTGCAAGAGTGAAAATCCGTTACACTGCATTATGGAAACGTCCTCGACAATATGGTGTGTCTGAGAACGTAGTCGACATCATACGAAACTATTGCGATGGACTACACCGCAAACTCTTGCATGGAGGGTAGCTCACAGACTCATTCCAAGTGAAGACCGGTGTCAGAGAAGGTTGCTTAGCATGATTTGTTTCTGTTTCTTCTGGTGGCTGACTGCATTTTAAAAAACTCAACATCTCAGAGGAAGCAAGGTGATACAATGGAGAGGTGCGATGCAGCTGGACAACCTTGACGTCTTCGATGATTTAGTACTTTTGCCTTACAACAGCAAGTCTAAATACGTGGTGATTTTGCAAGTCGTTTAATTGAGTTTCCAGTTCGTTTACTATTTAGATGGGAATGATCGCTAGGTTGATGGATAACAGACCTGAGATTACTCTTAGGCCTATAATTTAATGCCTCATGCAACATTAACTTGCAATGAATTTCATGTTCATGAGCACTAACAAAAGACGAAGCCTTATGAAGTCTCGATTCTTCGACAGTACAAGACAGATTGCTACGTTTCAATTTCTCTGATTCAAAGCGTTCATTAACATCAACATTTATGCCGTTAGATAACAGTGAAAATACCTTGCAAAAGTGTACGATGTCACTACCGAAAAAGTTCCTTCACCCCATGATAGATAACAGGCATGAGATTTGGTAAATATCACTATAGTGTACGACTTTACGTGAACAATCGTGGGAACCAGACACTCGTACGGGCACACGATCCTTTTTAATCCTTAAACCGGAAGCCCAAGTTTGAACAACATGCCAAATACTTTATTCCTAAAATTAGAAGGCTGACGAGGGTCCTTAATACGATCTTCCTGACAAAGATGGCTAAGCTTGCCTCCTTCAAAACTTGTATGCAAACCTCCCTTGAATACTGTTCATGTATCTTTTCAAACACAGAGAGCATAGAAAAGGTAGGAGTGGAAGAAATTCAAAGAAGCTATTTTCGGAAGTTGCTAAGATGTGATCGTAATCTGGACGACAGAGGGCTGCAAAAATCTTTCCCTATAACATTTTGGTGCTGTCGGATGAAAAACAACCTAGCACTTTTCTACAAAGTAATGTGTGGTTACTCACACGTAACCTGAAGCCCATTTATGGGCCACATAGCTGCATATCGACTCAGAAACAATACATTTTAATTACTAACTGAAAAACACAAAAGTCATACGTCATGATATCTTTGCAACACTGTAGAGAATATTGTGAAGGAGACTGCCGATTTCTCTCCAAATCCGTGACAGTAATCAGCTTCGAGAAAATAGTAATGCTACTTGTTAGATTATAAAGGGATTTATCAACTATTTCCATAATTCACACACAATCTTGAGGCATTTTATAATGGTCCATCCAACATTTGGACTTATCTTAGGAACTACTAACAGACCATGAATATATTGCGCCCCCATTGTCATTAATGCAAGTATCACCAAATGATAACACTGGAATTCCCTTCTACCAACAACGATAATAGGCCACGCCTATTTGCTCCTTCCACAAGAATGTTCAGTTTCTATAATATTGAAAGTCTCATCATTGTCTCCCACACACTTTCACATCACTTTTAGACATTATTCAAAGTGAACAGATAACTCAAAAAACCTATAGATGCTGTTCTGCTATCGTCGAACACAAGAACCTTGCTTACTTACTTAAGTACTTACATACTTACGCCTGTTACCCCCCAATGAAGCATAGGTCACCGACCACTTTTCTCTAACCAACTCTGTTCTGGGCTTCCCTTCCCAGTTCTGTCCAATGTTTGTTCATTCTTCTCATATCTTTCTCTATTTCTCGGCGTAATGTGTTCATTGGCATTCCTCTTTTCCTTTTGCCTTGAGGGTTCCATGTGAGGGCTT